TAAATATACAGTATATAAATTTCTATTTAAGCTATTTACTACTCAATTGAAAGGGTATATGACACTAGTAACTGTTACGTAAAGTGTTTTTAATCAGCTGTGGGCGTCAGATTTCGCTCACTAATTGCTTCAGACAAGCGCCTGTGCAGCTGAGTCTCAATTGGCAACAGGTTGGGGAATGCCACTAGCTTCGGGTCTGGGTGAGCATTAATTTTGGCAGGCGCTGCGTGTGTGCATTCATTACGGTTGACTGCCCCAGGCAGTTGGGGTCGCCGGCTCGCGCCCTACCCCACGCAACCCCATCTAAACTGTTGACAGTCCAAGCCTGCGTCAGTCGCCTGTGCGTTCTTACCTTTAACCCTCGCAGGTTAAATGCTATCGTCGTCATAGCTGCTGTCACTTTGCATTCATGTTGTTTACGCATCGGCAATAGCCAAAAGGTGTGCACACTCTCCCCCTTGCCCTAATGTCCCCATTTTCCGTGCTCCCCCTATATGTATATGAACAACTTTTCATCTATTTTATGGCTTAAGCAACTAATTTGCAAAATTGAGAGCAAACTTTGGACTACACAAACGTATGCGACCTGTTCGCATTTCATAGAGAAATATTAGTCCGTTAATTTATTAATCATGTACACAATTTCCGTTGTAGTTTCCGCCAGGCCCTTAAGAATAAATGATAGACTTAGATCAAAGTCAAGGTTGCCGTCAGTCACTTTAAACATAACGTTTGCTAATTAAGCCTTCAGCTTGGGGCGTGTTTGCTAGATATTATATATTCAACAACGGAGTTGAGAGAAATTTAATTAAATAAATATGAATTTGTTTTTAGCCAAAACTGATTTTTATGGACTTTAGTTATTGATGATTCATAGTTTTAAATTAAATTAAATAATATTATTTATCAAATACGCTTATTCTGTTGTTTAGAAACAGTTTAAAGAAAGTGTTATTTTATATAAAATATTTCTATTCAATTACATTCCATTTTGCCACCTAAGCAATTGTTTTGTCTCTCTCTCTCTCTCTCTCTCTCACACACAGAAGATGAGTTTAGCATTCGCTTCTTTAAAGCTTTTATAAGCTTTTTCATGCAAATAAAGAGCAATTGCATTTTATCTCTGTAAAGAGAGTGAAAAAGCTCAAACGATCTCGTTATGAATTAAGAGTTGCTTTTGGGAAACAATAGGGGATGCCTTATTCTTTAATGGAGCATATTATGAGTAATAGATGATAATTGAAAATGAAGATAAGATTACACTTATTGGCAAATATTTATACTTCATCGATATAAAACACATAGTTGCCCATCGACATAGACAATACACCGAAAAAAACAGACAGAGAAAGGAAAGGTTAAATATATAGAATGATATAAATGAGAACGAAAAAAGAGTATAAGGCATTTATCTTCATTCAGACAAGTATTTAGTTCTGGTTATCTGTATAGTAAACTTGTCAAAAG